GGGGAGGGGGAGGGGAGGGCCGGAGGGGGCCGAGGGGGGAGGGGAGAACCGGGGGAGGTGGGAGAGGAGGGGAAGGGGGAGGAGGAAGGAGCAGCGGAGAAGGCGTTCGCCAGGCTTTGTGCCCGTGGCGCTGGCACCGAGCCGCACACCCGGGAAAGGGCTGCGGGCCGGAGGTGCGGCCGGTGTCCCCAGGCCTGGCCTCCCGCGTTCCGGGGCGCGCGTCCGGCCGTCCCCAGCCAGCGCCGTCCGAAGCGCAAATCGCTCGTTGCAGCCGACCTTGCTGGGCGCCGCCCCGACCCTCCAGCCCCGTCCCGGCCCAGCTCCCCGAGTCCCCAGCCCACGCTGCCTGCACCCCAAGACCTCCCTGGGGCCACCCTCAGCTGAGCGGGGTGCAGCATGACAGCCCGGGCCTTCTGGCTGCTCTGCCTGCTCGCGGGGTCCCCCGGGGCCGCGCTGGCGTTGGCACTGGCAGAGAGAAAAGGTAGGGGCGCGGGCGCGAAGCCCGTGGGGACAGAGGGCAGGGGCGCTCGGGGCGTGTGGGTCTGGGCAGGCGGGGTCCGAGGACCGCGGGAACGGAGCCTGGCGAGCGGGTGGCTGCAGCCAACTTTGCGTGCTAAGCCGCTGCCGCGGGCGAGGAGCAGGGCGGGCCGGGCGGGGGCCGGGGTCTCGGGGCGCGGGGCGAGGCGAGGCGAGCGGGGACCGACAGCCCCGGCCGTTGCCCTGGACACCTGAGCCAAGACGTGTCCTCAAGATCCACACACAAGCCATGGGTGGGACGAAATGACTGAGGGGGTGAAGCAATCAGGCGTGCCCCGCGGGATAAGGCTTTTGCTTTGCTTTCAGTTGAATGTTGGGTTCGATTCACTGCCTTCGGGGAAAAGTTTCCACACCTCAGAGAGCAATTTCCTTTGGGTTATTTTCCCACATGGAAATGGAATGACTTCAGAGGCATTTAACCCAGATATCAGACCCCGATCTGCCCATGACAACAGATGGCAGTGTCCGTGGGGAAGCGCCGTGAGGTCAGCAGTGGCCGGGTAGACGCGGCTGTGCAGCGCCCTGCCTTCCGCTGCGTGGGGTGCACCGCTTACCCAATGGGCACCGACCCTCCGCGAAAACAGGAGCGCTACCAGCTGGCAATGCTGCGCGAACGCTGATTTTAGAGATTATCAATCTGGCACCAAGACCACTTTAAATAGTTGCCGGGGCTGCAGAAAGGCTTGCGCCTAAGCTCTTTACTGCGAGAGGAACCGAGACCTCCCTGCGTGCTGGCCGCCAACGCAGAGGTTCCCGTCTCCGAGCTGGCTGCAGTCTGCTCCCTAACCTGTCTGCAGAGTTGGGAGAACTCACAAGTGCTTCTGAAATTGTCTTCGTGCCTTCTCATTGCAGTTTCTCTCCACCACCCAAGGGAAAAAAGGAAGCGATGTGCTTTTAATACTTGCTTAGCCAGGAGCATCTGCCTCCCAGGGAATTAAAAAAAAAAAAAAAAAAACAAAAAAAAAACAAAGCAAAAACCCAACCAAACACCCAACACACCAAAACCCAAAAATCCTTCTAAGCTGTGGATTAGCAGTAAGTGGTGTCCAAGAAGCCAGACAAAAATCCACTCGCAAACGCTCGATTCTGCAGACCCCGAGATAACAGTGTAAACAGGGATGGGAAAACCAAATAGTTGTTGTCAGGGCGCTTAAACAATTAGGAGGCGCTGCAACGCGAGACTTTTCCTCCCAGGGGTTGTCCTTGGTATTTCTCAACAAACTGTAAATAGCAAAAGGCGGATGTTTATACACACAGCCATGTACGTGTTTATCTTTATCTATGTAAATATATGTGCATTAAACGAAGAGCGAGAAGTGTGCTATTTAACCGATGTCATCAGAAGTTTGTGTTCTGGAGTAAACAGAGGGCTGAAATCTGCAAAGCCGGACGCGGAGGACCCTGAGCAAGCCGCCCTCAGCAGTCTGCGGCCTCCAGCCCCGCGCGGCGTGCGCCTGCGCGGCGGGGGCCCTCCGGGGGCCGCGCTCGCTCCTCGGGAGCCGGCGACGCC